TTTTTTTTATTAATTTTGTACTTAAAATATTCTAAAAGAAACATAACAATATTGTTTTATGTACTTTCACTTTTCACGTATAGTATAACTACTCTTTAAGATTAAGTACTGTGTATCTCAAAAACCAGAGCTAATAAAAATTTTTCATTGTTATTTTCGTTTTTATCACCCCAAAATTAGTAGAAATTGACTAATTTAGTGTAGGAAACATTCAAAAAATATTTTTTTGTTGTGTTATAATTGAAAATTAATTCGAAATCTATTTCAGAGGTAATAGATTGTTCTAACCTGTAATAGCCTGGTATCCTTTCTTAGCTCCAGAAGGTCCGATGTAGGATTTGAAGACCCTGATGGTCTTATCAAAGATCTGTCCCTTCTTCCAAGGCTCTACTGGTTCGGGCTTCGATCTTGTGAAAGAGAAGCAATTGTTCTGAGGCTCCTTGGGATTCATCTCGATTTTCACGTCGGTTTTAGAGTACAAATCGTGAAATGCTGGCTCTTGGGTCTCGTCCAGTTTTCCTACGCCCCATACGACGTAGAGGAAGCCTTCAGAAGGGAATTCTTTGTCACCGGGATCAGCTGAAAACTCGTAGGACTTAATTGTTGCAGGCTGCTTATAGCTTTAAAAGTATTTTGTTCGTGATTGGGAAATTACAGATGAATGTATCTGTGGACCATAAACGTTGATATCTTGGGAGAAATTGAAAGTTTGGATGAACATAAAGTGTTAAACAGTGTAAGACAGTCTTTCAGTTGGCCTATAGTCCGTTCATAATTTGTTGATAGCTCACTGCAAGTTTGACCTTCATTAGAGAACTGAAATACAGAGAGGACAGCTAATATGATATAATAACAAATACCAAACTAAAACTGGCAGTTTAAGATGTTTTCGACTAACCCACCTTGTATCTGAAGAAATACAATACAGCTATAAAACTTTTAATCCGATTATGTAGGTATTTTGAGTGGAAATGAGTGACCAGTGTCGTAGAGTATATGATTAAAACATTAGTTACTTTAAATAAATAAATATATT